CGGGGCACACTCCCCGCAGTAGCCCGTGGGACTGGGCCGACGTGGCCCTACCGCAGGAAGGTCCCAGGGGCCCCCAGGGAGAGGCAAACCATAATGAGAATGATGTTGTGGATGCCTGGCCTCAAGGTTTTTCGTTTCTCTGAAGTAATGTGTTGTGACGAAACGGTGAAATGTTAAAATGTTAAGTACCACTGGTGAGTCGAAAGTCACCATCACAGTAACCAAAGTCTCCGTCCCACAGACAGCAGCCACTGGCCCCTCCCCCAGGGTGCACATCACACCTCCCACCCAGGCACCCAGGGAATTCCAGGTGGACAGGACAGCCCTTGGTCAGCGCTGGGCACGGCAGGCTCACCCCACGAGGGTCACTCTGATTGTAACTGTCAACTCTGTCTCTCTCTCTCTCTCTCTCTCTCTCTCTCTCTCTCTCTCTCTCCAGGAAGACTGTATCGCTAGATACAAGCTGCTGGTTGAACTGGTCCAAAAGAAAAAACAAGCTAAAAGCTGAATCCTCTGGAAGATGATGTTTACCTTATTTTCCAAAAGGATTATTTTAAAAATCTTATGCAGAAATTTGCATTTTGTACCTCACTATTTCTATACGTCATGTGCCTTAGTAAAAAAAATTAAAAATGTAAACTAAATGTTGTGCTACATTGTTTAAACAAATACTGTGTTAAAGGAGAAAAAAATCAGATTTGGGTATTTTATAGATTATTTTCTCTCTCATCACTGCAAAGTTTAATTTCCTGGGGAACAAACTGAATAGTGCTTTCTAACAGTGAGGCAAATGTATGATTTTGAAGGAACATATGAGTGAACTAATGTGTAAGAATGAAGACTTAATGTGTTTCTTTGACCAAAGATCACACCAGCTAATGAGTAGCAGGATGCCAGTATTTGGGAGAACAAGCCAGCTTTGTATTGAGCTAGATGGCTGGGAGTAGTGTGGGGTTATCTTAACTGTATGTATATGCATATGTTATATGTATGTAGAAAAAAATAAGTCTAAATGCACAAGGACATAATAAACTCTTAAGTTTGGATGGTTTGGTAGAAATGCATACCCAACGGATAGAATTTCCAGACAACACGCAGGCAAGGTTTTTCGGATCTGATGACACTGGGTCCCACTTGTCAATACCTGAGTTAAAAATCACTATTTTGTGCTGTTACTTTTGACTGAACCATCACCATCAGCTGAGTGCTCCTTTTTAAATCTGTCATTTGCTCAGGGCTGAAAGCAGTTTGCTGAAGTACAGATTTCCTAAACTTGAAAACCATTAAGATCACCAGAACAGTGCTTCCCTGGTGCCACAGTGGTTGAGAATCTGCCTGCCAATGCAGGGACACGGGTTTAAGCCCTGGTCCGGGAAGATCAGATGCTGCAGAGCGACTAAGCCCACGAGCCACAACTACTGAGCCTGCGAGCCACAACTACTGAAGCCCATGCACCTAGAGCCCGTGCTCCACAACAAGAGAAGCCACTGCAATGAGAAGCTCGCACACCGCAATGAAGAGTAGACCCCGCTCGCTGCAACTAGAGAAAGCCTGCCACACAGCAACGAAGACCCAACGCAGCCAAAAATAAATTAATTAAAAATAAAATTTTAAAAAAAGATCACCAGAACACATTTCAGGGAGGTGATTTGATAAAATGCTATAAAGACGTCATTTTTCTCTAAGGATTGAAATGAGGTTAGATTCCCAGAGAAGGTTTGGGTGGCAGCAGCCACACTGGCTCTGTAACCTTTCAGCCTGAGCAGGACACACGTGGCTCCAGGTAGGCCCGCCTCTGATGCTGTGGAGGACCTGCCACCTCTGCGACGTCAAAAAGAGCAGTGGAGAAACTGTTCCAAGTCATTGTTTTCATGAACTGAGTCCTCAGGCAGCAGCTCCCCTGAGCCTCATCCTGGTCGGGAAGGGGAGGCAGCCGGGGAGGGAGAGGCTGCCTGGCCTGCATGTCAGGAGGCCTCTTTCTAAGAACAAACAAGAGCCGGTCACAGGCGGCACCAGAGCCAACAGCTTCTGCCCCAGAACTTTCTCCTGGAGCCAATGGGGCCATGAGGTTATTACTGTGCATTCGCTTCAGGCCAAGGCCCACTCCCCATTGGTGTGGGACGTCTCAGAGGAAAGAAGCTGGTGCATGGAGGGAATCAGGAAGGGATTGTTCTGGCTGCTTTCCAGGCCTTGGGTCCATCCTGTCTCCGAGTCCAGGGTCAGGCTTGTCACACAGCTTGGTTGTCCAGCTTGTGACATTCTGTGAGTATCCTTCCATGAAATCACCCTTTTCACTTATGGTACTTTGAATTGGGTTTCTGTTGCATGCACCCCCAAATCCCATGACCAGATTTCTGGGCTTCCAGTGTGGGGAGAGCCCCACAGGGGTCCAAAGATGCCTTAAGAGGTACAATTTAGGATGAAATGCCCTAATTTGCCCTCCAACCTCATCTTTTGCACACTCACTAGGGAGGAGTCTTCTAGCATGGTTTTCTACTGATGACTATCCCTGCCACCAGCCCCTTTCTGCATGGCCTCCCCTATTTGGGGGACCTGGAGCTGCTGAGTTTTGTTGAAGTAGGACTAGTGGGCCGCGTGGGGCAGGGCTCAGGAGCTTAGCTGCACACAGGAGACCCGTGGGGTTCAGCTTGAGTGAGGTTACGGTCAGGAAAGCAATGGCACCTCCAAAAGGGGTTCCTGACACAGGTCACATGGGGACCAGGCACAGCCCCCCTCTCCTTCCTGACGCCCCAGGGAAGTGCTCTCTAAACCCACCCCTCAGCCCCACCTTGTGACCTTATCTATCTGTTCACACCTCCGAGCTGTGTGACATCAGTGCCTTGTCTTACCTCTTTGTCTTGATTCCTTATCTGGAAAAATAGGGAATAACGGTGGCTGCTGCATAGGTTGTTACGATGATAATCTGGCTTGTTGAACACAATAAATGTTCTTTTTCTATCTGACCATCCAGGCTTCCTGTTACCATCATTTTCAGTGGCTGCAAACACAGGTAGCAGGGCTGACAGGCTACCAGGCATGCTCATTTGGTCCCTCGCGGGCGGGAATCCCTAGTCTGGGCCCCAGGAGTCCTGGGCACTGTACAGACCCCGGTGGTCTGGGAGCCCTGCCAAAGGTATGCAAAGTCTTTATTCTTCTGGACGTGTGGTTTTCTGGAGAGAGGGTACACATCTTTCACCAGTTGCCCCAAAGGTTCCTTACCCAAAAAGGTTAACTCAGGCCTCTGCTCAAGTGTTTACTCTGACTGCAGCCCATCAAGGGCCCACGTGGTACAAGGAGGATCCTCAGACTTGGTCTCTGACAAAAAGAGGCCCAGAATTCAACCTCAGAGTCCCCACCCCACTCAGACCCTGGCAGAGGGAACAGCAGGAGGTGTCTCTTCATGCGGGGCTTGGTAAGCGCTGGCCTAGCCCCAGCACGCGCCGCCCACCTGCGCCCCCTGGCCCCACACAGCTTGGGGTGTCTGCCTCCATCTTCCCGGAGAACCGGGCCCTTTGTCCTGTGGTAATTGACATTTACTTTCTCCACTGGGGCAAAAGCTTACAGCTCAGTTCTTCACACCACCGAAGGCACCAGTTTTTAAGCCCATTCACACATTCCCTCCTGTGTCCTCACGAAGCCCCTGACTGTTCTAGCAGGTTCCCGCCAGCAGCCAGCGCTGCTTCGAGGCCAGGTGCTGTCACCCGCTGCCCAGGGCCCAGCGGGGCTGGCAGGCCTGTGTTCTTTCCCGGCTGTGCCTCACGATGCTCTGTTACTAAGAACTGAGGTTCCCAGTGGACGACCTGGTGCTTCTGTGACATTTGCTTAGGAACCACCTAGAAGTCTTGCACTCTTTTCTCCTTGATTGACCCATGTGTGCTTGGCAAACGTTCCGCCCCACAAGACGGGATCCGTTTTGACTGGAATATTGCCCCCGTGGGCCAAGTCTTCTCCTGGGTTCCTATCTCAGTTTTAGAATAAATCATAAGCAGCTTTCCCCAGTCGATGTTCCGGATGCCTTAAAAAGGCCTCTTGCCTCTTGGTATGTGCCAGCCCTGCCCTCACACCACGTCCACCCACCCCTTTTGAAAGTAGAGAACTCATCTCTTTAAAATACCAACTACCTCAGCCTTACTTCCACCTGTAGGGTAGTTGTTGTAGTTGTTAGGTTTTTTTCCTAACACTTAAACGGCACAGTTTAAGTTGTGATGTTTTATACACACAGGGTGACCACAGGTCCCAAGTGACCCAGGACAGTCCCAGTTTATACCTGTCTCCGTGTACCCAGTCTGGACTGCACGTTACATGGTCACCCGTCTGTGAGGGGCTGCTGGAGGATGGCTGGTCCCAGAGGTCCCTGGGGGGTGGGGGGGGACGGACTCTGAACCACACCCCCATTCCAGATGGCTCTGAGGCGTCCGCGTTCGTTTTGCTCGCCTGTGGCTGAGAAAGCACGAGGACGCAGCGACTGTGCTGACCCTGAGCCCTGGTGCCCCCAGGGGCACAGGGAGCCGCCTGAGTCGGGCCCATCCCGACCTGGGGGCTCCTGCCAGCATCAGGCAGGCTCCCCCTGCGCTCCCGCAGCTGCCTGGGCCGTGGCCCCCTTTAGCGGTTTGCCAAACGGCCTCCCCTCCCGCCGCCCCCACCGCTCCACCTGTAGCTGGGATCACGGCGGGGCTGGCCTGGAAGCCACCCCACTGTCTTGGCAGGAGTCCCAGCCTCCTGTTTGAATAAACTGCTTGGCCCTCAGCCTTCGACTTGATTCACCGGAGAGCTAAATTAACACGCTATAAAAGTGAACGGCTGCAATTATTTTCCCCTCTGGTCTGGGGAGAAAAAGAATGGCTTCATGTAGGACAGAAAAAGGGAAACCACGTTCGCAATCGGATCCCCAGGGGGAAGCTACCAGTGTGTCCAGAGAGAGCCAGGGGCCAGCCCCGGGGCCGTCACCTGCCCTGGTGGGAAGGGGGGAGCAGGGCAGCCCCTCCTCCCGCTGCCCCCACTGAGCACCTGGCCTGGCTGCTCTGGGACCCTCCAGCCTCAGCAGGGACCCACGGGTCCAGCTCCCTTCCTCACGCCCTCTGTGCCCTCCCATTTCAGGAACTGCTACAGGAACGAACAAAAAGACACCAGATTCTTCTGTAGGGA